AAAAACTTGGCTGATCTTTCGGTCCTTTGTGCAGTGCATCTGTTGAGGCTGTGTAATCTGCTAAAGCCAGTTTAGAACGGCCTGCTTTGTGTTGGCAACAAGCTGGCATATTTGTTTTGGCTGTTACAGACGATGAGAGCGACACCTTGTGTGCTTTAGTGTCAATGATTACGTTTCCATGTTTGAAAATACTTCTTTGTACAAATAAGAACAAAATACAAAAGAAGCTGTATAGAATTAAAATAGTCAATTAGTTTAAGTGAGATGTGAACATTTGAAAAATACTTAATAGACTAATATTTATATATAAATATATTAAAAGTAAGTGGATTACCATAAATCTGATACATGAAGTGTGCACATGAATTCCTGACTTTGATATGTATAATATGCATTTTCTTGTCAACACTGTTTCTATATATTTATGATGGTATCTTAATTTTAGTGATATCAGCGAGCGTAAATAAAAGGAGAAACTGGGATATTAGCCCAACAATAAACAGTAAAGTGCCATAAATAAGCAGTCATATTAGCCATGAGGAACCTGATGTTGATGTAAACAATAAACCTACAGCAGACCTGTACCACTCATGGAAAACTCTCTGTTATCTCTGTTAAATCAGAGTTAATATATCTGTAAAAGCCCAATGCATAACAGTGCTCTGGTTTAAATTCACACAGACAATAAATGAAAAGTCAACATGGGTTGTAAATGCTGAGAATTATTGGATTAAAACAAGCATTTCAAACTCAGTGGACACTAAACTACAACTACCCAACACCACTGAACGACTTAATCACACGTATAACATACCAAATGAACTAAGATATGAGAATATTGAAGGGTACTCACAGAAGTAAGTCTATGTCCATGCATTTGTTTGGATTCTCCTTTCTAACAACATCTTGTACCTACAGTAGGAGCTATATAAATAATCAGGCTCACAGTAAGCCTTTAGTCACCTCATGTGGGAGGTACAGCCTTTGAGTTGTGTTTTGGTATTTCAACCAATCCCAAAGCCCTCTGATCCAATCACTAATCCCATTGGGTGGCGGAGTGCTTCTTTAGTTAGACCAAACAAAGATGCATTTATCCGTCAGGAAAATCTAAATGTGTCTTGTGGTGTGATCTGTGACGTGCTTTGATCTCCTAAAAGTGGAACAATGCTGGTCAGATTTAAGCTGCACCACTTTAGTCACTGTTAGGGATAATGACATCATGTCTATGGTGATGGTGGAGTCGCATCACGGTGTACGTGAGGCAGGTTTACTTGTATATTTGGAACTATCGCTTTTCTTTCTATTTTTTCTAGCGAGGTACATCTTGATCGCTTGAGATGTGGCGTGTTGATCATTCTACAGATAATGTTATCTTATATGTTCCTTCAAAAGGGTTTATAACATTTGTAAGGTTTTATACATTTAGACAATAACATGCAACAAACACAAGCAGATCAAAATAAACTGAACTGCATATTCAGTCCATTATACTTCTTAAAATATCCTAAAGATGACTTCCTGCCTAGTGTCTTTCAAAGCAGTCATACTGGATAAGAGTCATTTGGTTATCATGTGCTTTCCAGTTTCTTTTTAAGTATATGATACTTTAATTATCAATACCCATGTTTCCCCCATTACCCTCACTTATTCTATTCCTATGGTCCGTTTATAACATTAGGCCATGGACAACTGATGAAAATTACCATTTTAGGGTTGGGTTAAATGTACTGATGTTTTCCTATTGATCAATGAAATGTTTTCCTGTCAGATAAAGTTAAAAGACAAAAATATATAAAATGTTATGAAGTGTGGCAAGTAAAGAGAAAAAAAAGACACAATTATAGTTCAGGTTAAAAATGACTTTACAAGGAAAATGTACTTAATGTAACTTAATCACTTGTTAATTGTAAACATTAATGTTCAGGTACACCAGTACACTTACGTTAACAGAGGATCAGCGTACTAATGCAAGCATAAGCAAGTGCATTCTGTAATGCAGCATGCACCACTAGATGGCCTCCCATTCACAGGATATATCTTCACTGCAAGAGGCTGCTGTGCACCTTGTAGTCTCTGTAAATAATATAAATGCTCTATTTTCAAATCCTTGACAAGCTGAGATGAATTGCTGCAGTTGAATGACAGTCTGCTCCAAACTGAAAACAAACATTCATAGTTTAGATTTGCAGCCTCTTCACAAGCCAATCCTCCCTCATTGGATGTTTTCCTTCTTCATGTGTAATGAGGGAAATCAAAACAAAATGGTGAGTAGACTACAGAGTAGAGCTTCTGTAGATATAATGAAATTATAAATATTTAGTTGGAGCTCTCAGAAACCTGTCACAATGGCTTCTGTGCAGGCCTTATCTCATTATGTCATTATCTCAACGTCCAATCAGTCTCTGCCTCCACTGCTGAGTAGACTCATCCCAGACTCTCACCAGAGCCCTGCGTCAGCTGATACACACACACACACACACACACACACACACACACACACACACACACACACACACACACACACACACACACACACACACACACACACACACACACACACACACACACACACACACACACACACACACACACACACACACACACACACACACACACACACACACACACACACACACACACACACACACAAAGCAAAAAAAGCAGCAGCTGAAGACCACACCCCCATACGGCTCCTGTTCACCACATTGCAAACATGTTTAAAAAACCACCAACTGCTGATATTGCAATCTGGGTTAAAACTTCTACTTTAATACTCTTTTTTTATCACAGAAATATGCAAGCCAGCACCACTAGATCAGTCATACTTGATTAATGTAATTTGTACAAAATATTGTGTGAAAAGCATGTTGTGGTTGTACAGATGTTTATGTACTCGACAACCAGGCAGCTGATGTAGAAGCCTGGTTCATAACCCCTATGAAATTGAGAATCATATTTTAAATAGTTATACATACACTTTTGTACAGATTAAACATACAAGATACAACCTGTTGTATAGTGTTCTTTACAGGGGCTGGCAGGTGCATTTTGCTACATTTTGACACACAGGGTGGTATATTGTCATCTAACTTTCGGCATGAAAATACAGTTATATTTCCTAATGTTGAACTATACTTGTTAAGGCCATAAGGAATTGTAGGAAAGCATGTATCTCCTTTGTTTTTGTAAAGGATTGTCTGGTGCACCCTATACTAAATTAGATAACAAACCGTAGCACTTTTTTCTTATCATCTAAAGATTTCAACCAGCTGTTACCATGGCTTTTCAGGTCATTTCACTCTTTTAGGAATCTTCCTATGCGAAAATACTATTTGACTGCAGCTGAAGATTCCTGTAAAGAATTTGAAACATAGACAAGCTGACCTGACCTGATTGGCTGGCTGTGCACATGCTGGTGCTCAGTAATGTCTCCACAGCACACAGCCTCAGCAGTCTGAAGTCACTGACCCAAAGCACTGCTTCACCAAACACATGCATTAGTAATGCCTTCGTAGGTTGTGTCGACCACTGACTTAGATGAGATCTGGTTAGACAGGGAGAGGTCAGCATGTTTGGAATGAGCTGTGTTGAAACTGTACCACAGCTCATAATGAAAACAAAATCAAAACTACTTTTGTTGTTTCATAGTTACAATGAAGGGACAGCAACATGACATCTATCAAACAGGAAGTAAGAGTGATTATTCAGTAAAAAATAACACAATAAGGGTTTACTTTAGGTCATGATGACATCAAGCTAAGCAACACATGATAGTTTTGCAATGGGAATGTGGGGGTTTAACATTTGGTGTCCTTCTCATGCACTTTCCAAACAAATAATCCTTGTTTGAATAAGTAGTATAGTACAAACATGAAACTGATTATGTTCAGGGTCACAAAATGTTATTGTTGTCTAATGAGCATGTGGCCTTATCTGATTGTAATATAATGAGGAAATGTCTGTGTGATAAGCGAATTAAAAGATGGAATGATTTGTTAATTGTTGATTCAGTGTGTGTGTGTGTGTGTGTGTGTGTGTGTGTGTGTGTGTGTGTGTGTGTGTGTGTGTGTGTGTGTGTGTGTGTGTGTGTGTGTGTGTGTGTGTGTGTGTGTGTGTGTGTGTGTGTGTTCTGCACCTGTTTGTGTAGCTGCTTCCCCTCACAGGCTTGCACGTCACCATAACAAGGCCAAGTCCTCACTACTTTTGGAAACTAAAAATGGAAGCGCAGAGAATCTGATCTCTCATTACTCACCCTTCACAGTGCTTCCTTTTGAAAAGGACAGGTACTGTAATAAAACTACAGTGCATGTGCTTACAGTATCGGTGGCATTTAGCTTGGCAAAGGTACTCTAGAGAAAGCGAAATGTCAAATAAGTTGTAGTGTTTCCCTCAATTCAAATGAAATCGTTCTTATCTTTGTAGGCAGCTTTGTTACCCAGTAATCTATACTTTTATAGGCTGCATTTACTATTATTTATTCAACAGTTTGTTCATTGCTTGTAATATGTAAGATTGTAACAGACATCCTGTACTTTTTTCATTATCATGTGAGCTTTTCACCTCCCATTTTTCTTACTTATGGTGTGATTCAAGCAAAACACCCAGGGTTATGAAATTGACAATTAACAATAAATAAAACTCTAAATACAAATCATATTTTTTTTTAAGAAATATTATACCAGAATCATTTAATATATATCAGAGTACAATTATTTTAATAAAACATTGTAATTGAGTTTGAGGGGAAAAAAGAGAAGACATCTTGAATACATGTACGGAATGTGGTTCAAACACCTTTCTAAAGTAGTTAGCGAGATCATATCACAAAAATTTAAAAAAGACACAGCACCTGTGTATTTATAAAGCTGTGTCCCCATAGTTACCAAACTATTTGTGCCAGCCTCTTAATAATGGATTTGTTTTCCTCTTTTATTTTGAAGGCAGCCGCCCGTAATTTCCGGTATCGCCCCCTGAGTTTCTGGCTGACTTGACGCAGTTGTTGCATTGACAGACAGTCAAAAGATTGGAAACACGAGTAGCAGCCAGCAGCCAGCAGCCGCACAAATACACCGACACGGAGACACACGGCCCTCCTACAGCCCGGCATTCACACTACAGCTGGAGTTGTTTTTAACATACAATAACAAACTTTAAGCTACTGACGTCCACCGAGTTTGGACGGTAACCGGCTGGCTGACATTTAGTAGACATCGTCCTGGATGACGAGGCTGAAATGAACTTTCCCTATTCTGCACACACGGTGCAACAACAGCGCTGAAATCCCGACGGGCAGTAAAGTGGTTTCCTCTGGATCTAACGGGGTGGTAACGCGCCACGTCCGACGATAAAACGATACCATTAAACAAACGCTTTTGGTGGGAGTGCATCGGAGCGGTGGCACAGCAGTTGTTGAGTTACACACAATGTGAACCCAGCGATGCTCAACTTTGTGGAAAGTTGGGAGAGACGGCGCATCAAGGGAATTATTTACAAATAGTGATGTTTTTTAGCATAGTTTAGCGTCTTAATCGTGAACTGCATACTGATCAAAGTGGATAACATAATGTGCGAAGTGGCCACGGATGAGCATGAGAGGGAGATCTCCGACATGGAGAGCTCCACGGTGGCGCACAGTGAAGTCATGCTGGTGGTCAATCACAGCCGGATCAAGCCCCCCTTCAGCGTGCTGCTGGCCACCGTGCTGTACTGTGCGGAGTTCATCACGGCCGCCGTGCTCTGCAGCCGGTACCACAAGACCGAGGACGTGATCTGGATGGGCTTCACCCTCACCTTCATGCTGCTGCCTGCCGTGCTCATCCAGCTGGCCCTAACGTTCATCCACAGAGACCTGGGCCGGGACAGGCCGCTCGTGCTGTTCCTGCACCTGCTGCTGCTAGGCCCTGTCATCAGGTAGGGAGGGGTGATGGGATGTTGTTGAAATGTTTATATATTGTTGAATGTAAGAAAACAATACCTTGATATAATCGGAAGAAGTACTCAGATCTTGTACTTAAGTCAAAGTAGAAATACCACAGTGTAGGACTACTGTTGCAAGTAAAAGTCCTGCATTCAAAATGTTACTCAAGTTAAAGTACAGAAATATTAGCATCAGAATATACTTTAAGTACCGAAAATAAAAGTACTCATTATACAGATTGGCCTATTTTGTAAAAATATATATCATGTGTTTTAATTCTAATTATTGATGCATTAATGTGTTTACCACAGCTGGTAAAGGTGGAGCTAAATTAAATTCATTTGTATACTGCAAGGTAGCTGGTGGATTTACTCCAAGTGTTATTTAGATGTTGATTATATTTCATATTAATAAAATCCAAATCTGGAAAGTAACTAAAAGTATACAATAAATAAAAGTACAATATTTACCTCTGAATTGTAGTGGGGTAGAAGTTGCAGTAGCAAAACATTGAAATACTTAAAGTGGACCTATCATGCTATATTTAAATGATATATTGTAGGGCCATACCTATATAAGGTATATTTATACGTTTCTGTTTTCAAAATACCAAACAGATCATGCATTTTAGCCATGCCTCATTTCGCTCTATGTGCTGTTTGCTGTCTACGGGTCTGATTCTGCTGACCACGCCCCCCTGCAGGAGAGGTGAGCCTGCTCTGATCAGCTGCTGGGCTGTCAGAAGAGGGGGAGAAAAAGAGATCTCCGTCCTCCGTGTTTTATTATATAGAGTCGTTATTCATTTGTTTTAAAGCTCAATAAATAACAAAGAAGACCTTTGACCGGCACTTTTCAAATTTTGTCCACATCGCCTCTACTGTGTTATGACGGGAATTTTTCATAGACTACAAAGTTAATCGATTATAAATTGAATTATCGGTTGCAGCCCTGACTGACTTATTCAATCAGTTGGTCAGTTCATCAAATACAATGAATCATCTACATTACATTGTAGATAGACTGTTGCAGCATCATGGATTTAGTACTGAATGAGATCCACAGATTAAGCTCTCTAACTGAATCACACTCCAGATGCCAGCCTCTTCAGTATGAACAACAGGAGGGACGACTGAACAGGACAACCTCCCACAACCTTAGAGCTTCTTTTCATTTGAAAGCCAATTTGTCATATGACTCTGCAGAGCTGGCACCCGCCCTTGTAAAACATCGCTCACATTCATTTACGTCGCTCGGTTGTATGACCTCATCTCAGGATAACGTCCCCCAGAAGCCTTCGGTGCTGCAGACCAGAGATCAGGCCTGGCTGGCTAACAGAGAGAGAGGGACTGATGTTGCCTCTTGAAATAATAGAGCTCGAGTTACTCTTTGAAATCAAAGCATATGTATTGTCTTAAACGTTCTCTTTCTGTGAGGGAGGTGTTTCAGTCTGCACTCCTGTGTCAGTTGTTTTCAGCTGAGAGACCTGTTCGGCGAACCGTGACTCATGTAGGCGGTGACTTAAGCTCTTTGAAATTCAAATATACACATATTCATACTCTCTTTCTTCCCCTCTGGACTTTGATATGTCTACAGTGAGCTGTTAAGGTGTTGGTCTGAATGTACAGTATAATAACAGTTAAATGTAGGGCGTGCTATATTTTACAGGGCAAGAAAATCAACCGAACAAATGTACGTGTAACAGGAAGAACACTTTGCTAGAGAAAGTGTCGCTAAAAGGCTTATAAATAGCTTGATTTGGCTCAGGTTTCTGTGCACCCTAAAATATAACAAGCCAGACAGTTTACAGATATAGGAGAGAAGATATGGATACAAATATGTAAATAAAGATCAAGGACATCTGTAGAAAGAAGAACAACCCTTTGCAATGCCGTTCAGAAGACAGGAAATGATCTTACAATGCTGAGTGACGTGTTTAGTGTATCAAAATAGATAGTATTTTTCCCAGTGGTGATAAATGCCATTTGAGCTAATAGTGCTTCACAAATCAGGACAATGTAACACAGAGTATCTTCCAAGAGAACAGACCTTTTTATTTTAACAATGCTCATAGCAGATTTGCAGTTCTCACAAATAACTTGACCAAGGTCAGGCACAGGTCTATAATTATTAACACACTGGAGATAAAGCCAATCATGTCATTGCAGGCGAAGGATAGACCACCTGCAGCTCTACAGACTATTTCAATCTTGAGTGAGTCAACACTTGGTTTGTGTTGTTGCCTGTTGTTGTAATAGTTACGACATATTTTGGATATGAGGAACTGATCAGAGCTACAGAGCTGGGGAGTTAATTGAAGAATGTCTGAACTTTAAGGACGATGTCTGACTTAATTTTAGAACATACATTTTGACACACTGACTGTTATCTGACTAGGACTAGATGTTGGAAAAACACAACAAATCTTGGGGGTGTGGACATTAGCTTGTAGCACGCTCCCCATTGAGGCTAAATTAGCTTAGTTGGAGTGTTGATAATGTAGGCACCCGGTTTTTGACGAGGAATACAAATGTGTGAAATGAAATGGACCATATCTCTGGTTTTGCTAAAAATAGGGCAAAGAGTCATGCTAAATCTATTAAGGCACAGTCAAAGCTTTGAGCTGACATCAACATGCTCACACTGACAATGCTAACATGGTAATGTAGCAGAATCATGTTTACCATCTTAGTTAAAGTAGCAATCCTTAATATTTTATTCCTGGTTGATTTAGGATTTCTGTGAAATTGAGCTTGTGTTATCTCTTGTCACGATAGATGATGACTTAACAGACCTTTATTTAAATATATATCTCCTGATCAAAATGTCCTACATTTATTTGGTATTGGCTCATGAACCTAAATAAAAGTATTGCACGAATGATACATTTTATATTTTTTATTTAACCTTTATTTAACCAGATAAAAACATTGAGATAAAATCTCATTTTCAATGCTGACCTGGCCAAGAAGGCAGCAACGTTACACATAACACAAACATATAAAATTTGACCCGGTAATGGTGCTGAAGGGAGAAGTCAGGGGATCACCATTGTCAGCACATTTCATTGTCTACCATTAAAAAGTTACTAAATGTTATGATACTCTAATAAATCGACTTATCACCAGACCTACTGCCATACGTATCTGCTAGCATAGCAAAGTATCCACGAGTTTCCAGCTGTAAAAAGAAAGCTGGTTAAAAACCAAAAGCAGCTGTTATCTGTCGGCTACGCTCACTCTTTATGATCCAGTACACGTCTTTCCTCCACCTAAGAATGCTTTGCACACTCCAGTGATTTTAAAACGTCAACAACCATGAATCGGCTTTTAATACCAAAGTAAAGCTGCCTCTCTAATGTCTACTTCCTGAAGAGTTTTTGTAATTTTTATCTGTTACACTAAACTGTGACATCTGATGCTTTTAATGTGGCAGTGTAGAAAAAATAACAAGTAGCAATGCTTGCTTTTACAGAACAGTTTGTTCTGCTCTCTTCTTCTGTTTTATTTCCAATGCTTCTCATTCCCTCACTCTGCTGCTGTAAACAAATCACCTCTGCTCCCCCTCGGATCAGATAGGAGGTTTCCTGTGTGACTCAGGGACGACTCAGTTGCTAATCTTGTGGTCAGACATACTGTGTCTGCTGTCAAAAGCAGAATTCCAAGTCACAATTCTTGACACATGACTTTCTAATAACCTTCACGAGAGCCTTGTTTTAGTTGCTGTGTAGTCTACCAGAAGACACTGTTTCCACAGAGTCAATATTGGCAACTTCAAATAGGTCGGGTTATTTTCAACTTGTCTTGACTCGTCAACAATCCTGCTCCTAAAGCTGGGAAATACAATTACATAACTAAAATGTCAACTTGTGGACCAGTGCAGACTTGCAAAGCTTCTTGTTGTGTGTCTGTTTGTGTTTCGAAAACGCTCCACAGTCTGGCTTGTTAGCATAAACCTGATGAGCCTGATGAGTTAATCCCATGTGACCAAAACAAGGGGATTTTGCAAAAGAGATGTTGATAGAATTTCCTGAATGCTTGTTCCTCCTTGCTTATGTGGTATTTCCACATCATACTGATAGACTGCACGGACATATTGTGCAGTAGCCTGTGTGTTTCCCTTTTATAAATCCATAAGTTTCTGCCGCGGATGTCACTATATTGATTCATTTAGCTAATGCAGCCCTGCTCATTCTTTCCCCCTCCCCTAAGTGAAACACAGCCTGCCTCTCAGTCTGAATCCTAAGTGCTGGCTGGCTCGAGCTCAGTACCCTCACAAAGTGTTGTGACATTGTGCTGCCAGATTTCCATGGCAATTATGTAGATAAATCAGGTTTTGTGACTTTGTTGTTTCCAGATCGTAGACAATGTACAGTAAAGCTAATGTCAGGGAGTTAATAAAGTGAGTGCGCTGGTTTCGAGATGAGAGCGTGCTTCCAAACAACAACAATGATTTTCCCTGCCAGCCTCTAACTGGTGGGTCAAACACAGTTCAGGGGCGAGTGTGGAAGCTTGGCACTGAGCTGCATTTGCAATGTAACTACAGAGTACAGTTTCCCTACAAAGAGCAGCTGAAGCAACATGTCTGACTGCTGACTCTGGATAGTCTGCTGCACAGCAACACAGTGGAACCACAGTTGTGTGGGATTCAAGTCTTATGTCCAAAGTTGGAGTAAAAGCTAACATTCCAGCGCAGTGATGTTAGATTTGGTGCAGCAGTGGGGATCCTCAGGGGGAGAGGTGTGTATGTTGAATACAGATGTCCAGCACTGTACTAGTAAAAAAAAGTCAGGGTGTTTCTAAAGCCTGGATTCATTGTCTCTACCATGAAACATTTGCTAAATGTTATGACAATATTGGTTCAAACATTTAAGTATTGACCATATTACCCAACCAGGCTGACATTGCCATACATGGTTCATATAATTGACAAAAAATATCAAGAATTAGAGTCAGCTGCTACGATAAACATGTGTTTTGTCATGAGTTATATGGCTGACATGTGTTGCTGCAGCTTGAACATTTGGTTTTGATGTTATAAATCATTTATAGTTGTCGATGATTCAAATAGTTTCCTTATAGTTGGTGTTCCACACACAGGGGCGCCACTTGCGAACAGGCAAGGCAGGCAACTGCTTGGGGCCCCGGACCAGAAGGGGGCCCCCAAAAGAAGGTAGATTAAGAAGGTCCACAGCAACGACAACATGAAACACCCTTTAATTTACTGCAACGACATGTCGGGAAACCCCCTCAAGGCGGCCCCATGCATAGCGCGCCGTAAAATGCTGCTTCTTATTTTAAGTTTCGTTGCCTTGCTCCGCTCTGGGGGGGGGAAGAGTGTGTTGGGGTGCCACTGATGATCACCATCAGTTTCAAAATTCACTGGAGGCCCCCACAGACTCTAGAATCACCACTGTCCACACATAGACCTCTGTGGAAAACTTGTTTCTTTCCTCATGAATACAGTTAAACTTGCCCCTTAGGCTAAACACAGAAAGCATTTACCTTTCAAATGTTGAGAGGACCACACCCAGAGAGTTTCAGTTGATCCATTCAGGCCTCTGGAAACTGTTTTCTTTCTCCTGGCTGCCCTCTGCTGGAGTCTCAGTGTTGTGCTTTAGGCGCCGTTTACACGAGGAGAAAACTGCTTGTATCTGCATAGTTTCGCGTGCGTATAGCCCTATTATTTACACGAGGCCGATAGAAACTGACCCCACAAACGATAACGGGTCCCAAGGTGGATAGATTTGCAAACGAAACGCTCTGGGGGGTCAACCGAGTCCGTGTAATCACCTCTATACGAATATTTCCTGAAAAAATAGCGAAAAAAAAAAAAAATAGCACCTCTCCTGCTCACTGCTGTAGCAACCATCAAAAATAGCTGTGTTAATTAAACGCACAAGGGGTTCTTGAATGAAATAATATTATAAAAGGCAAACCAGAATTGTTAACGCCCAATATACTCCTTAAACAAAATAAACAGAGTCAGATTTCATGCATTGATCCATTATATTGACAAAGGTGCATCTCACCCGGTGTTTGTAGAGAATATCTCTCTTTCTGAGCCGTCCTCTCGATGCAATATCCACAGAGACGTGCTTCTTGGTTTCTTTCAGTTAACTTCCCCGTTGCATTTATCCATATGCTGAGGAAATGACTATATCCCGCTGAATACCAGCAATCGCCACACACACTGACTTCCCCCTGTCAGTAGCTACTGCTAGTGGTACTGCTACTGACCATGCTACAGATATTAGTGCAAAAATATACAGCTCCTCTACCACAACCATCAGCAACAACAGATTCGGTTTCTTTCAGTTTCTTTCAGTTTCAGTTTCAGGGCTTAAACAGAAGGGTAGCCATGGCAACATTGCTGCGGGGCTGCTCCAGGCTGCTCTTCTTCGCGGCTTTTGGTGTATTTTGGCGGAAGTTACAGCGCCACTTACAGTCCCAGCATATGTACTACAGCGTTTCCAGCGGCCTCGTTTAAACAGACACGTTAAATGAAACAAATGCATGTGAACGGAAGACTTTTTTGAATACGCATACTGTGCATAAACGCAAACGGTCCCGTGTGAGCGGGGCCTTTGTTTATTTAGCTGTGATTTACAGACAAGACAAGTTTGTTTATGATGGATCCCTTACGAGATAACCGTTCTGAGATCAGTGTATCATGTGTATAATATCTCATTTTAAATTCCTACACTGAAAACAAGCTAAGCTATAGGTGAAGTTCATAATAAGGTTGTCCAAAGGGCATGATTATGCACTTTTTAGTAAATTGACCTACATTTATGTTTATTTATTCAGTCTGGTTGACCTGAGTTGTGATTCAGGAAGGTAGCCTTTTTTGATTGAAGATATTATCTGCCAAGCTTAAGAGAAAAAGCAGAAAAGACCAAGCTGTGAAAAAAATCCTGCAATATGTAATGGAAATAGCTGTTTTTTTTGGTGTCTTACATATTCATTACATCTTCAAAATGTAATGTTGTGTTTAAATGATGTCGATACACGAATCATTGTAACACTACACTGCCCTCTGTTGGTGTAAAAATATCACTCTACTTTCAGTAACTCCATTATCTCATCCTCAGGTGTTTCGAGGCTCTGGTGGTTTATTTCAAGTCGGGTAAAAGGGAGGAGCCTTACGTCACCATCTCCAGGAAGATTAACCTGGAAAAGGGACAGATCCCCATGGAGTGGGAAATCGGCCAATCAGAGCGCAACCTGGCCACTCACAGAAACGCCTTCAAACGCACCGCCGTCATCCAGGCTTTCCTGGGCTCCGCACCTCAGCTGACCCTGCAGCTGTACGCCAGCATCCAGGAGAAATACTTCCTCCCTGCCAGATGTAAGAATGACCGAGGGGATCATGCCTTTGTTCTACTATACAATTAACTTAAACAACCGCTATGAAACAATGCGATTTCTACATCATGCAAGCCTCTTAAAATTACACAATTATTACATTATTTCAGTTTGGCAGCTCTTGACTCCCCCCCCCATAAATGAATTCTGTACACACAGAATTCAAATGTCCCTGCTGTTTTTTAAATGCACTTAGTAATGGTAGAATATTTCAAATCACCTCAGCTAACTTAGTAAATCCTTTCTTTTGTGAATGTCCCACAGTTATTAAGAAGTCAGTGTGTTAATCGGGAGATGTTTTGTTTATTGGAGACTGTTAAGATATAAAATCAAGATAAAGATAAGGGCACATGGAAACACTGAAAGTTAGCATTTGCTTTTGATCAATGAACACACAGAATCTGAGGCAGTCGTGAGGACATTAGTTTGGCAGGTATTCAGTGTAATATAATCAAAGAAATATTCAAATTGACCTGATGATGGCGCTAGATTAAAAGTTAAGGATGATCAAAAGTATACTTTACCTTTCTGAACATGATGGTAATACATTAAATAGTTGCAGATATAATTCAGTGTTTGCCAAAGAGGTGACCTGAAATCTTTACCATATGAGTTCTTGAAAGAAGACGCTTTTGAGCATATATTATTTACTTTGCCTATGTTTAAATTACATTAATTTAGGAATATAACATACATTTTATATTAAATGAAGTGTGAGTTTATAAGAACATTTCTATTGAAATACGATAGCTTTATGTTGATAATATAAGTTCTAATAAGTTAAAGACGAGACATTTTTGGATATGATGATGCTGCTGATTATAATGTAACCGATGACCTGTGTTTGTTTCCTCAGTGACACTGATGATCATCACGCTGATCTCCATCACATACGGGGCTCTGGTGTGCATCGTGCTGGCCATCCAGATCAGATACGACGACTACAAGGTGCGGTTGCGGCCCTTCGCCTACCTGTGCATGATCGTGTGGCGCGGGCTGGAGATCGCCACCCGCATCACCTCTCTGGTCCTCTTCAGCACGGCGCTCACACACTGGGTGATCCTCGTCGGCGCGGGAAACCTGCTCTTCTTCTTCTTTCTCCCCTGGGTCGAGTTCTGGGCCAGGAAAGGCTCGCTGGCCAAGGACGTGGAGAAAAACTTCTCCAAGCTGGGCACCATGGTGGTGCTGTCCATGTTCACGCTGCTGTACGCCTGCATCAACGTCTTCTGCTGGTCGGCGGTGCAGCTGGACCTCACTCACCGAGAGCTCATCGAGAGGAAGCAGCGCTGGGACCGCCTGGCCATGTACTATTGCGGGCGCTTTGTGGAGAACTTTGTCCTCATCACGCTATGGTACTTCTACAAGTCGGACTTCTACGAGTACGTGTGCGCGCCGCTGCTGGCCGCCCAGCTGCTGATCTGCTACAGCCTGGCCGTGCTCTTCATGCTGCTCTTCTACCAGTTCTGCCACCCGTGCAAAAGCCTCTTCAGGTACAACGTGCACGACTGCCTGCACTGCGTCTGCTTCCGTACAGGCCGGAGGGGGGGGAGGGGTCGGAGAGGGAAGCTGCCGCCCTCGTACTCGACGGCTGCCACCATGGTGCTGGTGCCGGAGGAGCCCCTGCAGCTGCTGGACCCCCAAAACTCCCAACCCCTCGACCTGACCAATCAGCTGGGAGAGCAAGAGACGGCTATTCTTGAAGACATTATGCAGGCAGCCTAAGGAGGGCTTAGTGGGGAAATAAATGAACAAGTTATTTAATGAGGATGCACCTCAGCTGCACAAGTCCTAGAGTACTTTTAACACAAAAAACAGACTATACAGCAATTTTACTAGTTTGTGATTGTGAGGTGGATTAAGGTTAACTGCTGTTGTCTTTATCAAGGGTGATTACTTACACTTGGGGCACAGCGAGGCCTCATTGCACCAAAGAATGTAGCACGTCCAGATATGCAGCGATGCACAAAGGCCGCCTTGAGAGAGCAGCAGTGTACAGGAGTGAGCCAGGTGTGTGGGAAACGTGCCAAGAGTGTCAGAAAGAAAGACCGGGACACCCCCAGTTTACTCCCTCTCAGGGTTTTCACTCCTTTGCACACATTTGCATCTGCACTAAAAATACTTTTACAAAAAAAACAGAAGAAGAATGTATCTTCCTCCTACCTTACTACATAAGCCCGCTTTGTTGAATGCCGTTTGGTGTTTACTATTAGAAAAACATTTTAGCTTTACAAAAATTCATCAAAATATGTCACAAAACAATATGCAGTTGAAAAACACCTAAAAAACTTAATGGAATATAAAATGCCTATTTTTTTAAAGTCAACCTTGAAGTTGAATTTACCCAATTTACACTGAATTAACTACTTTTATCAAAGTGCTTTCACAGTATGCTTCTTTTTTATGCTATGTCTTGTTTGTTTGTTCGGTGCCTTGACTACTATTGTTTTACTTGAAACTCAAAATAAAAGATTCTGACACATTCATTCTTGCTCTGAATGAAGTCACAAACACAATAAAAGCTCATTGTTTCCGATAAAGCATTTGCCTCAGCGTCCAGCAGAGTAACATTTCCTCCTTGCTAGGGATGAGTATCGTTAGGATTTTATCGATACCGATACGATACTGCTTATCGATACCGGTATTTTTCGATACTGTTATCAATACTTTTCAATAATTTGGTGCTCAAAGTTATAGACATGCTTACAAGATGTGAAGATTAAACGACAGTCATGTTATTGTAATTTATTTGTATTTATTATTTAATGTAACTTTTTCAATGTCATACCAAGCAGGTATGAGTGTGTTTGACAGTGTGTCTCTGGAAGGGGGGCGGTAATTAGGGGCAGTATATCAATCCATGTAAACATGACCATTATTCAGTTACGCACCTCCTGAACCGGAAGCTCCGGTCGGCTAACCATTATAATCCGTTTATTATTTATAATTGTAATGATGGATTATCAGTAATCATTTTAAAGTTAGACAGAGACATTGGATTAACCGTTTTTATGCCCTTGAACACAACTTTTGATTACAAAACAGCAAAGGTAAGACATTATCATCATGGCTATGTAAAGTGAAGTTGTTTTCTTGTTTGTTTGTAGCCTTTATTTAACCAGGTGAAAGCCCCTTGAGATCAAAATATCTCTTTTTCAAGGGTGACCTGCAGCACATTGGTTACACATGTAACATAAAAACAACAGAACAACAATAAGGACAACATACAACATAAATTACAGGGTACAGTTTACAAACTCTATTTACAGTGACAGGTACCATGAGTATCAAACAGCATGTCACCCAGCCGAGTTTTAAAATGATGCAGGGGAACCAAAGTGCTCAGTTTTAAACAATATTTCTTGCTCTTTCCTGGCTGCTAGTTCAGTGAGTTTTGGTCATACAGTGATGAGATTTATACCAATGGAATCTGTGGAATCTCAGATTTCATGTGATATGTCGTTTGTGCAGTTAACATGACGTAGAGAAGATCGCTTTCCTATCATCTAGAGGAGGGGTGGGGAACCTCCGGCCCTCGGGCCGTATACGGCCCGCGAGACCATTTGGTACGGCCCTCGAGGTAATTTATAAACGCACGCAAAAAAGAAAAAAATTTGAAATCTAGACCGCAAAAAAAACTGCGGTATACTCCTATATATTGTTCTGTGTGCCTCCAGAGCACACTAAAACACGAGGTCTGAAATGAAAGCAAAAAAAACAGCTTATAGTTATTCAGGTACTATTCTGATGCTAATACTTTAGTACTTATACTTGAGTATTTCTACACTCTGGTACTTGTACTTTTACTCAAGTACAAGATCTTATCACTTCTGACACCTCTGGAAAGCACTTTTATGTAAAGGAATACATCTTTTATAAATGTCCCAACATTTCATTTTTACATGGTCTCAAAACGTTAATATGTTATTAATGTAAAATGTTATATATACAAATGTTGTATTATATAACAAAATAGACATTTATAACATATAAATGTCTACCTTTAAATAAAATATTAAATAGATACCTTTACATCCTAAACAGAAGGTCAAAACGTTAATATGTTACATGACAAACTAAAAATATATTATATATATAGGCTATATATACAGATGTTTGCTAATGTATCCCTCTTATATCCATCAGGAATTAATATTAAAGGTGGGGTAGGTAAGTTTGGAAACCAGCTCGAGTGCGCTAGAATTTGAAAATACACAACCGGAAAAAATCTGCCACTTCCTTACAGAGACCCTCCTCCAACACACACGAACGCGCACATGACCAATGAGGGCACGAGATAAGTTTGTGCATAGATGGAAGGCTGACAGGCAGGTAGGCCATCCAGTTATTTTAGCCGGGCCGGCTAAAATGATTGGTCGTGCTTTTTACAGTACTACGGCTTCCACAGATTACATTTTTTTATGGATTTTTTATCAAAGCACTTAAGATATTCATTGCTATCGGGATGTTAAGAGCATTCCATGGAATAACAAAAAGTGTATCTCGAGCCGGTTTCTCAAACTTACCTACCCCACCTTTAAATTATGATTACCTCCTGATTACCTCAGCGCTGCATAAGCGTGGTCGTCAGTCATATTGACAAAGAAGCACTATTATATTGTATATCTACTTTTAATATTGCTGTATGATGCGGCGTTTAAAAGGACGGTATTTCGCTTGTCAGATTTCTCGGGTGTGCCACGTGAGGCAGTGATGTAACGCCAGGTTGATGCTGTGACGTAACGCCGCGTCAATGCTTGCGTAATGCGGAAGTGGGCGTGGTTAAATCTAAACTGGGTTGGAAAAACGATAGACGCGACCCGTACACATGCAGCAGTTTTTGCGTGGCTGTGTCGAAAGCCCAGTGGCGATCTGCTCATCTTTCATACAGTCAATAACTTTGTTGTTATTAGCATCAGGTTAGCTAGCTATGCTAACGAATATAATGCTGCGTTCACACCGGACGCGATGCAATATTCGCTTCGCTCTAATCGCTCCTATCGCATCGCTCTAAATGCTCGAGTTTCACCGCGGCTGCCAGCTGTGTTTACTCGCATCATTCAAACAAGACGCGCTGGCTCGGGAGCTACAACTACAACAAAATGAACATATTTTACCGTGATTAAATTGTAATACACATTTCTAAATGATGCCGAAGTAACAACATACTGATACCGGTCAGTAAAAACCATGAATTAATGCTTGACAAGTCTGCAGACAAAACGGCAGGCGAAAAACCTTTTAAAATGCTTGTTTTCTGAATGAAGATCGGGTCGACCAGGCTAAGCTAACGTTGTATATGCTTATTCCACACTCATAACAACGGCCTACAGACATAAATAAACCAGCGACTGTATTCGCCATGACACAGACAGTCTGTGGTTTGTACTTGTTTAACTTTTGTCCAGTTTCTGAACAGATATGAGGAGCTGTGAGCTCTGTGTGCTAACTGCTAACAGCTAACGGCTGATGTTTTCTGGTTGAACGTCAGTGACGGCAGGCTGAGATCCTCACCGCTGATTGGCTTCCGCGAGAACGCGTCTCGTGAATTTGACGCTCGAGTTTAAAAAATTGAACTCTCGCGTTTGACACGGCACCGTTCAATCGCCTCAATCGCGTGATTCGCGCCGCGTCCACCGCTTCATGCTCGCCGTCGGAGCGAATTCGTGTCTGTCCGCGTCTCTGCATTGACTTTACATGTAATCGCGCCGCCCCCAAACATCGCATCGCGTCCGGTGTGAACGCACCATAAGAAGCTTTTTCTACAACCAGTGAGGTAAAGGCACATCTTTATATGATCATTATAGTTATAAAAAAATAAGAGAATAAAGTAAACGGGTATAAAATACTATATGACAGTAAAACAGTTGTTATTAATAAACAGGAATACAGTTTGAAAGGGGAGTGATTTGTAAAATATCCATAAAGAAAAAGAAATCTGCTTACAGGTCTGTTTCATATGAGTGTTGAGAGATGTATCCATAGATCTCTTAATGTTGCTCTCAAAGTGCACCAGATTGATGCTTTTAACTTCAACATTTAAAAAAAAAGGGCTGCCAAAGTGCTTTGTTTTGAACGTTCATCAGTATTATAATCAAAAAGATTATGCTGTTAACAGCATTCCAACTATCTGCGTAGAAATTTCACCAATATCTACGCACAAAATTCTTTATTCTTATTATTCCGCCCGTTATTTTGCCGGTCTTCTCCTCCCGCATTGAACATCGCAGAAACTCTGTTCAAACATCAAAACTATTCGACTGCAACCCAGGTATACTCGACATTGAGAAACGGCCCTGGCCTGGTATTGCACAACACACGTCACCAACACCAAGATGGCCATCACTACTGTCTTGCCAAAAAAGGGATTGACTCACCCTCACTATCACCACAATGAAACACGTCCAGAAGAATGTCATGCCTTCTTTCGATTATCCCTGAACTGCCTGATCTTTTTAATGTTCAATGTTAACCATTTGTGCAGATAGCATGAAGTAATAAAAGATCACCGATGCTAATGTAGCGTTAGCATGTCTCCCTCGGGGGCATCCGGGCTTAAAGGTGTATTATAGAATGATCACACCGGTGTGACAGTACTCTTCAAAGGGTTCACGAAATATGACTACTACTCTACTGTTTAACACTTTGGTTAACTTAATGTTACTTCATGTTAAAGGTGGGGTAGGTAAGTTTGAGAAACCGGCTCGAGATACACTTTTTGTTATATTCCATATGCTCTTAACATCCCGATAGCAATGAATATCTTAAGTGCTTTGACAAAAAATCCATCAAAAAATGTCATCTGTGGAAGCCATAGTACTGTAAAAAGCACGACCAATCATTTTAGCCGGCCCGGGTAAAATAACTGGATGGTCTACCTGCCTGTCAGCCTTCCATCTGTGCACAAACTTATCTCGTGCCCTCATTGGTCATATGCACGTTCGTGTGTGTTGGAGGAGGGGCTATGTAAGGAAGTGGCAGATTTTCTCCAGTTGTGTATTTTCTAATTCTAGCGCACTCGAGCTGGTTTCTCCGAAATTAGTTATGACATCACTTACGCGACTCTGGGATTTGTAGTCTTTCTAGTTGCATATTTTTCATAGTCTTATATTTCAACAGTTTTACGACAAACTGTGACTTTTTTGACATGGAAATTATTTTTTAAGATTGACAAACATCATATGTGTAATTCATGGCACAATTCAAACGGGATCGAAAGATAAGTTTTCTCTCCCCATTGACTTCAATACATAATTTTTCCGAAATAAGGTCCCATGGGTCGGAAGTAGATGGGCGGGACTTCGCCTCTCGGGCTCTGACGCTACCCATCCCTACTCCTTGCAGCAGACACTTCCTCATTCCTGACGTCAGGACTAGTTTATCCAGCGAGTAGGAATGTGGTCATTCGGCTCACGGAGGGAAACCTCCTCCAAACCTCCTGAACAACGCAGTTTCTCATGCCTTTAGTTGTGCTTCCTGTTGCGACCTTTACACCTGCAGAGGAGGGAGGAGTCCGGGCAGAGGGTGATAGATAAAAGAGA